TATATGCATATGCGATTGCATATAATCGTCTTTTTTTTACCAAGTATGCTTATTTTATTGATCGCGATGTAAAATAGCATGTTATAATAGGTATTGTATTTTTAAACAAAAAACACACCTATYAAATGTGTAAAAACACATACTATTTAGACATAATATAGTAAGTACATACCGACTGAATTAACTTACCGGACGAGTTTTWACTGCCGTCGTTATTTATATATCTTATCGAAAACTCGATAAGATATCGTTTAATCGTTTGCACGTGCCTCGAACAAACACGCCGTGAAAAAAGTACCATCGCGAATAAAAACGTTCAGAGAACAGTTATTGCCAACTTTACCACTTCCACCAGAACCTGTAATTACACGGCGGGGTACTTGGATCAAAAGTCCTTGCTTCTACAGTGAACATTTCATGGAAATAAAAGGAATAATTAACCAATTTAAAAGTTCTGACGCCTTATCAATCCGTGGTGCCAAGGAAGCATTTGAAACCTCGTCAATACAACATGATTTAAATCTGATTCTTATACATTTTTCTAAAATATCAGAACTAATTACAAATCTAGAAGCAAGAAATTTGCTACTGAACAATTCATTAAAAGTTATGGAGGAATTATTAACAACAGCATCTAAACTGCCTGATATATTTTCAGAAAAAATCAAAACAAAGATTACTCGATTACTGAACAAAAATCCTGGCTGTGATTCCCTAAGTATGATCGATGCTTACATTAATGGCACAAGTACTGCCCAGTACCATAACGAGAAACACCAAGACGTCTAAGTTTAAATATTATCCTGTGACGTCCTGTGATGTTAAAAGGTCATTTTCTGCATTTAAACTTGTTTTGGATGACAATCGCCATAGTTTAACAATGGACCACTTTTACGCTGCATATTTGCATGCATATTATAATTAAGTATTTTCACTGCATATAATCCGCRGTTTAGTGATTCAAGGAATTGTATACTGTATAGGTCCAGTGTCCGCCTTATCTGTGACCGATAAAGTTTTATTGATTTACCCAATTATAGTACAACAATTAGTTTAGCGATCACTTTATCATTGCTCGTTGTATTTGTTAGTGTATCGCATCTCGTTAACTCGTTATTAGCTTTAAATGCAATAATCTGTTTATTCAAAATATTATAGCATTAAACCGATATTAATCTGTTTATTCGATGTGCGTTTGATACCACACATATAGTATATMGTCAACTTTTTCATTATTCATTGCACCGAATGATACATATTGTTGGTTATGATTTGTTTGCTTTAGGTCATCTTTTGAAAACATCGGATAATATAGGTAGTTTCAGTTATACCTATCTAATATAGTTTTGCTTATTGATTTATATAAAATATAATAATATAATATAATACATGTGTATGGTTGTAAGTCTATAATACAATTATCTTCTATATAAAACAAATTATATTCATTCACAGAAATAAATGTCAAAATTTAAGTAAATAAATGTATAAGTATAATAGTAAAAAAATTAATATAAAAATCTATTATTATTATATAAAAATACATTTTAAAACTGTCTTAATCAGAAAACACATTCAGAATCARACAGATATAAATCRTTTTATTTTTTTAGWTTTAAAATATATATAGCAAAAACATTTATGTCAAAAATATTTACTRTTATACAATACCCAAAAAGAAGTTAATTATAACCAACGTGGTCGAAATCATTATTATAGATTAAATCAGATGGTATTGGAAAACTTAACTGAAAAATTATTCGATTATATGTTTGANCCCAAAAAGAAGTTAATTATAACCAACGTGGTCGAAATCATTATTATAGATTAAATCAGATGGTATTGGAAAACTTAACTGAAAAATTATTCGATTATATGTTTGACGTTGGAAGTTTTATATTTAAAATAGTTTTTTTTTTTTTTTT